TTGATTTAAGATTTAAAAGGGGAATAATCACAGCAGAATCCACTTCCAACCAAATTCTATTCCAATTAGCCTTAGTGGAAAGTTTGATTGCCCAATACATATCAATGAGTTCAGTTTAAGTGGCATCAATGGACAGTACTGGGGTATAAAAGTACAGCAAGCACTTACCCAAATGATTTATGTAGATACCTCCCACACCAGCTCCATTTTTAGTAAAGCTTCCATCAGTGTTAATCTTCACAATAGGATGATTTGGGGTTTTCCAGTAGACTCTAATGACTTGAATAAGATCAGACTTAGTGGATGTACAGGAGTTAGAAATGTTAGGAAATCCTTTCCAATTAATCATCTTATGCAAGTAAGTTACACAATTTCTAGCAGTAATCCCCATATTTGGATTTACTTCTTCAAATTTGACCTTATTTCTTTCCATCCAGATGAACCAAGCAATGATGAAAGGGATAGCAGCATACTTTCTTATCTTCCAGTGCCACTAGCAATTGACCAGTCTATCCCAAGTGAGCTCTTTCTGATCAATTGTCAACTGATTTAGGAACTGTTTCCATGCCCGTTGAGCAAAGTCACATTCAAAGAATAAATGATTCAGAGTTTCCTTTTCCTTCTTACATAACCAACATTTAGAGGGACCCCTCAATCCCTTCAGCTTTAGAATGTCATTAGTAGGAATCATTTTATGGAATATTCTCCAACAGCAAAAGGACATAGAAGGGGATAGGAATTTCTTCCATAAATGATCACCCCAGGGAGTTTGCTCCCAACTGAAATTTTCGGAATATATGGCTTTGGTGAGGCTTTGGTGGGAATTAGTCTGCCATAAGATTTTGTCAGCAATATTTCTGTTAAATTTTATATTGGCCACTTTGGTAATAGAGTGAGGTTGCAGAAGATTTGCTAACTTACCCAGGGACCAGTTATCACCATCCCAACAATCAGCCACTTTCAATTCACTATTGTAGATATTGGTGATGGGGGAGAGCCAGTCTTTGGGACACCAATTGCCAAGCCAAAACTTGATTTCCCCATTTCCCAGCTCCCAACTGTAGTTGGTTTCAGCAATTTGTCTAATTTTCAGCATTTTCACCCAAATTATAGAATCACCAATTATCCTTAGGACCAGTGTGGGGTGCTGATCTTTGCAATACTTACCCCACATGAATTTTGCCCACAGTGAACTTTGAGTCCTAAACTTAATCCAGAGTTTACGGAAATTGACTTGAAGGAGTTAATCAAGGTCCTTAAAGCCAATTCCCCCAGCAATTTGAGGTTTAGCTGCTTTCCTCCAGGAAGCCCAATGCATTTGCTGTCTTTGACCAGACCACAGGATTTATTAAACAGTCTCTCGAGTTGTATTTATATGCTTTTCTTTATAGGAGTCATCTGCAGTATATAAGCTGGGAAGGTAGTGATTATGCTCTTTAACAAGGTAATTCTTCCCCCATTAGACAAGAAGGTCTGTGTCCACCCACCCATTGAGAAGGTTAGAGACTTTATTCAGTGCCTCATCAAATTGAGTTTGTTTGGTTCTGCCAGTGATAAGAAGCACCTAAAGGTACTTAATATGGAGTTGATTAGTTGTGAAACCAGTATAATTAGATGCCCAAAGTTTGTGAGTGGAGGATACATG